AAGCGATATAGGAATAAAAAAATGCTTCGACTGCAGCATTATAATAAAATGCCACAGCGAAAAGAAGAAGAGAGTTCTATAAGAGCGAGTGAGAGAAGCGGGAACCGCCGCCGCCGCGCCTAATGCAAAATCGATGGTCCGCCATTAGAGCTGCTGGTGATAAATCTAAAAAAGCAGGCATGCCATGATTTATTAGCAGAAGGTGCTGCGCGCCTATCCCCGCGCGCCGAGACAACAAAAACTTTTTTGGACCCCTTATACATTAGCATATCAGCTTCGGCTCTCTCTCGAGAAAGAAAAGTCAAGAAAGCAAAAAAATATAGGAGCGCACCATTCCTCCTCCTCGCGAACAGCGTTTCCAAATTTATGTGCTGGCCCGATTTTCGTCATAAAATATTTCCAAGATTAATTACTCCTGCCACTGCTGGTGCGACCACCACTGCACGCTCTTTTTTAAAATTATGACTGCAAAAAGTGTTTTCTGCTCTCTGCTCGTTGGTTCGTTTTTGCTGCGAGCGGTTTTTGCCAACACGGGGAGCAACTCGCTCTCCGGCGGTTTTCACGCAGGCTGTTTGTTGTCAACGTGTTAGAGGTGTGTTGCATAATTTACAACCCCTTGATGCTGAAGGGGTTGCCGCCTTAATTACACGCCGCTGGCAACACACTCGAGCTATGGCAAGAAGTACATTAGAGAGTGTCAGGGCTTAGATTGCAATTTAAATAGCTAATACACTCGCTGCTCACACTCTGCTGGATATAATAAATATTGAAAACTCACGTCAACTTTGATAGAATAAAGTAACAGTTCTGGGAGACAAAGCTGCTGGATGTGAGGGTCGCGTGATGGAATAACAAACAATTAATTAATGTTGCAAAAACACGTGCCCCACTTAACAATTTCCACCCAAGCACATTTTTAGCTCCTAAAAAAATCTAAATTAAACTGTAGTGTTTTATTAAAAACAATGAAAAAATCTCTATGCATTACATAACTTTTATTGTGATTTCTAAGAAACGTTAATGAAATGAAATCAAATTGTCTTAAATAAACTTTTTGATTTTATTTCTTTAGTCTGTAACAGACAATTATATAAAATTTTGCCCCTCCCAAAGTTTATTTTTTCTCTTTTCAATTCTTTGATATAAAATTATAAATACGCCTAATGAAGAAAATGAAAAACAAAATAATAATTCATTTTCTCTGGATTTATTTGTCGTCGGAGCACTCTTGGAAAATTTTGGGATTGGCCGCGATTTTTTTTCCGAAATGAAAACAAAAGCCACAGGGGTTGTTGCAGTGGACCAAAAAAACACGCTGCATGGAATTTTGCCAATGAGTGCAGATACCAGAGCGGCGCTCGACACACATATACATTCGTATTGTATTCCAATGGCCCAAGGCTGGGATAATAGATCAAAAAGAGCCGCCCTTTTCTCTCTGCTGCTCTGACGCGGAGATTTATATAAATTTTCAGCGAGAGAGAAAGAGAGCTCTCAAAAAATAACCCGCCAAACGATTCTGCATCATAGGCGAGAGAGAACATTGCAAACTCTCGCAGGTGAAACGAAAAAAAGTCGGGCTAAACGTTCGAATGAAAGTGTTTCGCTGGGTGCTTCATAATAATCCGCTCTTTTGCTATGTGGTCAGAAAGAATTTGTATGTGAGTTCTATTCAAACATTCTTAATAAAAACATTTTGTGCATTATTTTGAAACAAAAACAAAATTCATTGATCATATAACAATGACATAGAAAGTCATTTTGGTCATTTAAAAAGTGAACATATATCATATCAAATATAAAAAATATGTAATTATTTAATACACACAAGCTGAATAGAAAGAGCTCTGCTATTTCTATGTTTAGACTTTTGTTATTAACGAACACTTATGCAGACTATAAATTAATAAATATATCAAATATACTATATGTATTCCATCTTTAAAATGTAAGAAACATCAACCATATGCTATAAAATGTATAGTGAAATAAAATTAATTAATATAATTCTGTTTTTAAAAATATTCAGTAAAAATGAAGATATTTTTAGTAAATCGTAAAACAATGAATTACAATAATATTAGTTTTAAGATGGTTTAAATTTATTTTTTACCAAATGTCAATTTTGTTTTTACTTTAATCAAAATCATATTGAACTTTATCCTCTAATTTGGCTAATTTATAGGAAAATACATTCAAATTAATTGTGATTATGATGTCGGTAACATTCTACCACCGCATCGAAATCCTTTTCCAATTTTCTCTCCCAATTTGGCACGGCCATAAAGACAAAATTTTGCTTGAACGGGCTGTGGCTGGCGCGTAGAGCAATTGATCAATTCTCCATTACACTTTGTCATCTCGGGGAGCTCTCTTGCCCGCGGAGAAACAGCAATTTGATTACAGTCTCACGTACTTGGGGCGGCGGATGGAGAATTGCGTACGGCAAGTGCACGGAGCTGGGGGATGTGTCATCCTCAATTATACAACAATGCGAAAGCAGCCATCTGGGGGATGATGCAAATTTCCCTGCTCTCGCCCCTTGCCGGCGGGACAGCAGACATATTTGCCGCGGCGATGAGAGATGCCGCCGCTGCTGGGAATTTTAAAATTGGAAAATTTATTTATACACAACGCACATGCACTAGTAGTTGCTCTTGGTGCGAAATATAAATGGGGCGGCTATATTAAGAGCGATCTTAGGCGTGCGAGCCATCAATTAAACTCCGAGGCAGACGCCGAGCATATTCTCTCGGCTCGATCCTGAGCAGGTTGCTGCGGATATTGCTCGGCGCCCTTTTCTTATTCTTGCGCGCACGTAAAAAATAGTTTAATTTAAATGGGCTTACTGATGTGACGTGGCACGAGATAAACGACCCTGCGGGAAGCGCACAGGAAAAAAAGCCAGGAAAAGATACAGAAGCGGCGGCGGGCCTCGCCATGCCACCGCGCGCGCTCTCGCTGAATTGCTTTTCCTGTGCGCGAAATAAATCCTGCTGAATCTAATTTATTAAGGGCACGTATTTCTCTCTGACTCGCCGGTGCTGCCTGCCACCGGGTTCGTAAAACAAAATTCGGCCCTGTTTCCGTGTCGAATCTCTTTGCAATGGCAAATACATACCGGAAGGATGCCAAGCATTATTCTTTTTTTGGAGCTGTTCCCATTTTTCTTTTGATTTTTTGTTAATTTTGCTTCGGTTGAAATAAAAAAATTATGAAGATTTACAATTACATCATTAATAAAGGCGCAATTAAGCCCCAAAGCAGTGTAATTTAAAAAATTATAAATACAGAATAATTAATTGAAGTTGATTTTATAAATTGAGTCTTTTCAAATGATAAATGACTTTTACTTGACTAATTCTGAGCAAATGAATTGAAATGCAGAAAAATATTTTGGACCCGCAACAAAAATATTTCGATAGAAAGCAAATGGAGCTATTTTCTCAATTATAGATCTTGAAGTCTAGATATCAACAAAAGGTGCAGTGCAGGTCAAGGCCCATGAACAATTCTTTTTCCTTTATTCTTCGACTGCTCTCTTTTGTTTCCTAAGGGGCATTTGAGCCGAGCCGAGGACTTATCGGGCCGAATTGTGACAAAAAGAATGCCAGGCGATATTGTGTCCATTTTTTATTTTATTGCCACCCTCTCTGCGTAGATATTCGTCTTCTCTTTTTTTCCTCTCGCGCGCGCTAAACCCGGGCCATTCATCCTCTAAACCACCCCCTGGAATATATACAGCGGCAGTCCGTTTATTCCGGCGGCGGTGGCGGGCGCAGAGCGAGTCGTTTTTGCGCTTTGCACATCTCCCGGGCTCGTATATCTAGCGCCAAGAGTTATGGTGCTCGATACGACAGGGAAATTGCAAGAATGGGGTAATCTATCTTTGTTGGGAGAAAAGTAAGGAAGATAAAAGAATTTGTCTCACTGCAGCGCCCGCGCTTTATTCTCCTCCAAGATGCCCTTTTATTTTTTTCCTTTCTCTTTCCCTCGCTGCTGGTTATTTTTTTCTTTTTTGCGCCCAAGGATACGCACCAGCAGGATTTGGCACAAAAAGCTCAGTGACGGCAAAAAAGGATTAACGGCCCTTTAAGTGCAGAATAAAATTTCTACAGAGACAAATTGTCATTGCCTAATAATGGATTTGTCTCCTTAATCGAAACGTAGATTTTGGTTTTGCTGTTTACTCCGACCGAAGTTGTTTGATTTTTCTTAAATAATTCTATGAATGGAGATTTATGGCTCAATATTCCTGCGCTGTCCGTCTTTGATTAATAGAAATTAATCATGGCGTATGCAGTCCCCTGCGAATTAAACTAACTCGCCCTTTTGCGCCAGTTGCGATTGGCAATTTATCTCCCGCTCTCCTCTCATGACTCTTTGGCAGTTCTTTTCTCCAAGGTAATATCGAGAAGCGCACAGAGTTAACAATCAACCCTCATGCACGCAACAATAGGGGTGAAAATAAATAAGATTTGGAGAGATCCATCTTCTCAATGCCCCGATGGTAAAAAGAATTGTCCTCAGATGTGTATCTGTCTCAAGTGGGGAGAGAATTCGATGCAATCAAATTACAAAATATAAAAGGCTGAAAAAGTGCAAGAAACTCCAAATTGATTGGATGATATAAAAAAAGTCTTTAATATTTAATAAAAAATCAAAATTATTTGATTTTTATGCCCAATAACGGTTTTATTATGTATTGAAACTTCGATAAATATAAATTTTAAATTTATTTGTTGGTAAGAGTTGGTAATATTACTGTTTTTAATCATTGTTACTATATTTATTAATCAATTTAAATATTAAATAATTACTAAATATTTATTTTTTACTAAAAAAAACAATTAATGAAAACCCAATAGAAAAGCAGGTGACGCGCGCATTGCTCAAAAGTTTCATTGAGTTGCTAACTGGCTATCGCTCTCCAGACAGAAATTTCCCGAATAAGTGATTCCTGCGCGTTTAATTAAATTAAGTGCCTAGTTTTACCCTACCTCGGTGGCACGGCGAAAGTCTCTGGTGTATTTGGGGCTGATGGGGTCATCGGCAATTGGGCGAAATCCTCCATCGGCTGACAATGGGCGAGATATGATCTGCTGTGGCACAGAGAAGAGAAGAGGCGACTTTGTTATCTTTGCACAAATTCCTGGCTTGTGGCTGCTGCTGTTCAGCGCCTCGACGAGTGTGAACAGGAGCGAACAGGTCAGCACGGGGATGATAGACGATTCCAGAGAGAGAGAAAGAACAAAATTGAAAAAGATGCTGCTGACGTCGCTCCATTCAATAGATTATTTTGCGCGGGAATTAATAATTAAATCTGTCGCATACTAAAATAAAACTTCAAATTTTGCAGTTCAACATACACAGATGAACTGAAAATTATGAATAAATTGTTATATTAGAAAGTCTTCGCGAATAACGGTGTATTTAAAAATTCTTTAAAAAAAAATCCTTGTGAGAAAATGATATATAATTTTTCTTAAATTTAGAGTGTTTTGCATATTTCAATACAAAATAAATTCTTACAAAATTGCGTCAAAATACAGAAAAAGAATCGAAAGTTTGTATTAAAATAAAAACCCGCGTTCTAAATATCATATTCAACAAACTGCAGCTTAAAAACACCAACATCCGGGAAGATTTTTTTCTTATATCAGCATTGATAGATGCACGTTGAAAAGGAAAATACATATGGCTTTTAATGCGATAGATTTAAACTTAAAATTCAGCGCAGACTTATAGAATGTAAACGGAGTGGCGTCTTTTTCACTTTTTCTCTTTCTCTTGATGCGTGAATCGTCTCTCATCCCCTTGCTGACCTGTTCGATCTTGTCGAAGCGCTGAAAAGCGAACAGCAGCAGCCACCATAGCCAGCGAGAGGAATGTTCCTCGGTAGTGAGTAAGCCAAGCAGCTCACCAGACACCAACACGAGTTGACCAGTTGACGTCTGACTCAGTCTGACGAAAGCACAAAAATGATGAGGGCGCGGGAGATCTACATCTTGTGTTTGGTGTCCCTGTCTCGAAGAAATGAGCTTTTTGCCGACAAATGCCCAGGTAGGCCGAAAGTCCCATTTTTCTTTCAGACATTGCCGCATTTCCACTCGATTTTCATATGCCACTTTATCTGCACTGAACGTTATTATAGCCATGATTTTCTTTGCCCAATCTGCGCGTATATTTGTTACGGTGGCCCTCATTAAAATATTAAATTTTAAATGTTAAATGAATATTAAATAAAATTAAAAATTATATAATGTGCAAAGAAATTATTTTTGTATAGTTCATTGAATTAGCAGCCAATAATTTACAATTATGTATTACCTCAAATTAAAATTTAATAATTTATTAGTTTTGGTCAAATTGATCTTTGGATAATGTTCACATTTTTATGAAAGTAAACGTATAACATGAACCCGTTGGCGTGATTTAAAGCTATAGCGGTGACAGCTGATGGAATAGATCACTTCATAAACCAGCGCAGAGGTGTGTGCTTTATTGGCACCAACGTGAGGGCAAAGACGCCACACTCTTGTGCACGATGATTTATTTACGTGCAGCACTCGGGTCACTTCACGAGAGCCGTGAGCAGCTCGTCGCAATGCAAATAGCCGAGAGATGCATTGCAGCGTCTTGCTTGGCACACGTCACTCTCCGCTGCGGGTAAACCGCGCATATTATATTGCCAGAGGTGTATGCGTGAGGCGCCTTTTAATTGGCAGCGAACAGAAAGGCTTCACAGACCTTGGGCGATCGCACTTAAATTATAATTACCCTCTCGGCGTGCAGTTACAAATTATTTCACACTTGCACTTTTCGCAATAAATTATTTCGAAGGTGCGGTAAGAGCGAAATTTATAATAATGAACTTGTTTTTCTTGACCTCTCAAAAATGAATTATTAAGAAATTCTTATTTTATTTACTCTGCATATTGATAAAGAATTTTAAAAGCTTTCAAATCTTGAAGCTGTCACCTTGAAAAAAGGGCACACAATAAAAAAAATCGCCTCTCAGCTATTATAGTGTAAACAATCTCTCTACTGCAGGCACGAAATATTTTAGGATTGTAATTTTACGAGCCCAACACAGTTCATTTTCCTCTCGGAACAAGCAAGGGCGCTCACACAAAACAAAACATCGGCCGGCACGCACTGATTTTCTGAGATGGATATAATTTTGTTTTTTTTTTTGTTCTAAAGGAGCAGGAGAGAGAGCGGCGCGCAGTTTGTTATCAGGCACATTGATCGGGAAATAAATTAAATTTCTATTGTTTTATGACAGCTCGGCGGCACAAACAGGTCTGCGAGTCAAAAATTCCGTCCAATAGGAGGCGAGGCAAACACCTAAGTGCCACAGTTGTCCATGTAGGGCATTTGGAGACAGTGATTAATCGCACGCAACCGCCGCTTTTGCAGTGTAGTGTCCGCAAAAAAGGCTTGCTGGAATGCTAAACGGACACATTCATCGTGGACTATTTAAAAAACAATTAACCGCGAGAGAGTCGCCCAGCCACGGACCTTAAAAATAAAATTATGTGACTCTCTTGGCAAGAGTAAAAAATTAATTATCCTATTTAATTGATTACCTTTAGTGGAGTGAAAGTGACACTTCAGTAAAGAAAAAAAATTGCTTGAATATTAACTCACCGTTAAAAATATTTAAAAATCGTACGAAATCCATAGCGGAGAGAGAGAGGAGCACAAGTTTGATGTTGTTGGGCTGCGAGTCAGTCAAGAACTGAAGTTTTTAGGTCACTTTTCATTGTTAAGGGGTGGTTTTTGTTGAGACCGTTAAATAAGAAGACGACACACATATGGCACACAGAAGACTTTTATGAGGCCCCTTCAGCCTCCTTTTATTGTTACGCAGCTCTCTATGGGAGCATTCGACTTGTGGATTTGAACGGTCCCCTGAAACTTATGCCACCACCGTATACACAGGGAACTTTGTGCTGAAAATCCAGCAGAGTAGGCCCATGACAATTGCATAAAATATATTATGGGAGAAAATCAATAGGTACGAGATCGTGATTTTTTCTTGGTGCCATTTTTCAATTAATTGTTTTAAAAAAGTGCGTGTTCGTGAAAAATGTTGTCCTGCTCGCGAGGCACTCGCCCCGTTTATTTTTCGAGTGGGCCGAATGAAAATAGAGTTTCAGCGTGGTCATAAAATGCGATGAGAAGGTCTTTTCAATCAACAGATCGCAGACATATGGTAAAGATATTAGGACAGCCGAGACACTCTGATTATTTTATCAAGTCCAAACACTGGGGTGTCGTAGCTACTCGAAGAGCCTAGCCGTGCCTCTAATAATAAAATCTCCCAACTGCACGAGAGCCAAATTGAGAGAGAGGCCCAAACGCTCTGCAGCCTCGTCGACCCTTAATCATTTCGAATCAAGTACATTCGGTGTGACTAAATTCCCTGCTGGCCGTCTGCAAGAGAGCGAACAATGAATGGCCCTTTTTACTTTTGAAATGGCCCCCACCCCGGTCGCGCCGGCCACCTCACCCCCTGGACAGCAGATACCTCCCCCTATTGTGTGCTGGTGCAAATGATATATCCTTCATCCCCCCTCGTGGCTGTTTTTCTAAAATAGCCGACCATGATTTCTCTAAAACCACCGCGCCAGTATTAGTCTGAGGCGGCCACCTAAAGTGGTGAAATGTATCAAGGAGTTTCGCTGCGCTGCCCGAGAAGCGAAAAAAATACATATTTTCCCATCAACCAAAATAGCTGCAGCCGCGCGCGTTGTGTTTCTTCTGTGAAGAAATAATATAGTCGAGAGTGGTGCCAGTCAGTGACCCTTGAAGGGACGTTCCTTGCCGCGTTTTGGATTACGTAAGTGACGAGGAATTTATTTTCCGATAAAGCTAATCTACAAAAAGATCATTAATGTTTGCATTTAGTTCAATATAAAAATAATAATATTATACTTTTTTTAATATCTATTTGCATTTTTTATCTTATTTAATAATTTATTTATCAATAAAACATTTAAATTGATATTATTAGCGCAGCTATTTAATTAACATAGATTTTCTTTTATGTTAGAAAATTAATACTGTGGGTTTTAGTTGAAATAAAAACCAAAATAAATAATTTGAACTCTTACAACCTTTACTTACAAATAGAACAAAATTTTTAATTATTGTGAGAGTATTTGTGTTCAACTTTTAATTTCATCATATATATTATGTCCATGGGGCAAGAAATATTAATTAAATCTTTGAAAAAGCTTAGAGGAATTTCATGTTTTGTGTAAAACACAAAATTTGTATAATAGGGGAAGTGCGCAGCCCTGGCGCTAGAGCGTTGGTGGCTGTCTTTCGAACTTTTTGCACTTTGTCAGAAATGCGGATCCCGGTGACTAAAACGAGTATAGCTAACTGAATACGTCATGGATACCTTAGGGGCAGTAACTGGTGGTGGCCGATGAAACCTGTGAGAGTTTACAGTTGTTGCATCGCACCGCGGTGGAGCGTGGGGATGTCGAAAAGCAGCCAAATGTTGGGCAGCTCGGCTTCTGCCGGAGTGCCTCGCAGGCGCATGCGTCAGCGACTTACGGCGTTGGCCGAAAGTGTGGTTTTGCTACTGGTGCTAGCTTCACTGAACTGAACCAGCTGGCTGAAGAAAATGAAAACAGCGACCGGCGACGCGACCGCTCATTTTTAGAGTGTGACTCAACTTTCCCGTCATTTTTCACGAGTAAGTTTACACCAGCACTGCATGGTCTTTACGCTTAAAAGCCAAATCGAATCGCCGACCCGGCTAGAGTCGACAAAAAGCGACAAACGAGAAATGGTTCGTGTACACGAGGCACACATTAATATTCGCAACGCAAAGACTCAGCCAGAGGGTGAACGGGCGGAATAAGGCGCAAGCAAAGATTATTTCTTGGTGTTCCGATTTTGAATTGTGAGCTACAAACCCATTCTTACACTTTCTCGTTGCATATTTTGTCGTGGTTTTACTTGCGATTCTGCTGATCTCATCAAACAAACTTTTTATCACCCGTCGCCATTCGCCATGTGGTTGCCTTAATATGCATACATAAACAGAATGGTGCAATTTATTTTTATAAAAAAGAATAAGCGCGTGATTATAATTGAGTTAATATGTGTTGTATTAATTAAACTTGAAGGGGGTCAAATGTAAAATGTACATATTGTCTTTTGCGATTAAAGTTTATCTTCATTAAAAGTTAGTTCCTCATTCTCGATTTCTTCTTTCAGGCCTCCGCACGAGAGCGATTTAATTGTGTGACGACTGTGCACATGAGTGTTGGACCAGAAGTTATGTTCCTGCCAGCAAAGAGTATCGGACATAAGAGAAGGCTGCTGCAATGCACTCGTCCTTGATCTTACTAACTGTCGGTAAGATAAATTTGCCCCGAGTGAAGCCCTTTCGACTCTCGCAGCCTACCATCCAACTACCTCTGCCCACCCAATCCAACCAGTATGTTTATGGAATAAAAATTTGATATCTTGAACAAATCTCTGAATCCATCCTTCAACTTTTGACAATAAAATTTTTTGTACAAAGTCTCTTGATGTGCCCTTCGCCTTTAAACACTGGTTTGAATTTTGGCACGTAAAGTCGGTGTTTCTTTTTTTTTAACTGTGAATTTCTTTTTCCAGGCTGACTGCAGTGGATGGGCGCCCCAGTGGTTTTTGCAATTGATTTGCCAAAAATTGAATTTCTCGGATGAAAGAAAGTCGGAAAGAGCACTCGTCCCAAAATTTCGAGCCGCTCCGTGCCAGGCGGCGCTCCACTCATCCTCGGCAAGTCGACTGTGTCTCACATTGGGTAATTAACTAACTCACTCCCTGCCTCACCCCTTCCAACTCTGCTCCCCAACCGCCGTGCCAAGCATTATTAAACTAATCAAAATTTCTTTGACCAAAAATCCCTTGATGCTCCCATCGTATTTTACCACTGCTTTCAATTTTGGCACGTAAAGTCGGTGTTTCTTTTTTTTAACTGTGAATTTCTTTTTCCAGGCTGACTGCAGTGGATGGGCGCCCCAGTGGTTTTTGCAATTGATTTGCCAAAAATTGAATTTCTCGGATGAAAGAAAGTCGGAAAGAGCACTCGTCCCAAAATTTCGAGCCGCTCTGTGCCAGGCGGCGCTCCACTCATCCTCGGCAAGTCGACTGTGTCTCACATTGGGTAATTAACTAACTCACTCCCTGCCTCACCCCTTCCAACTCTGCTCCCCAACCGCTGTGCCAAGCATTATTAAACTAATCAAAATTTCTTTGACCAAAAATCCCTTGATGCTCCCTTCGTATTTTACCACTGCTTTCAATTTTGGCACGTAAAGACGGTGTTTCTTTTTTTTAACTGTGAATTTCTTTTTCCAGGCTGACTGCAGTGGATGGGCGCCCCAGTGGTTTTTGCAATTGATTTGCCAAAAATTGAATTTCTCGGATGAAAGAAAGTCGGAAAGAGCACTCGTCCCAAAATTTCGAGCCGCTCCGTGCCAGGCGGCGCTCCACTCATCCTCGGCAAGTCGACTGTGTCTCACATTGGGTAATTAACTAACTCACTCCCTGCCTCACCCCTTCCAACTCTGCTCCCCAACCGCCGTGCCAAGCATTATTAAACTAATCAAAATTTCTTTGACCAAAAATCCCTTGATGCTCCCTTCGTATTTTACCACTGCTTTCAATTTTGGCACGTAAAGTCGGTGTTTCTTTTTTTTAACTGTGAATTTCTTTTTCCAGGCTGACTGCAGTGGATGGGCGCCCCAGTGGTTTTTGCAATTGATTTGCCAAAAATTGAATTTCTCGGATGAAAGAAAGTCGGAAAGAGCACTCGTCCCAAAATTTCGAGCCGCTCTGTGCCAGGCGGCGCTCCACTCATCCTCGGCAAGTCGACTGTGTCTCACATTGGGTAATTAACTAACTCACTCCCTGCCTCACCCCTTCCAACTCTGCTCCCCAACCGCTGTGCCAAGCATTATTAAACTAATCAAAATTTCTTTGACCAAAAATCCCTTGATGCTCCCTTCGTATTTTACCACTGCTTTCAATTTTGGCACGTAAAGACGGTGTTTCTTTTTTTTAACTGTGAATTTCTTTTTCCAGGCTGACTGCAGTGGATGGGCGCCCCAGTGGTTTTTGCAATTGATTTGCCAAAAATTGAATTTCTCGGATGAAAGAAAGTCGGAAAGAGCACTCGTCCCAAAATTTCGAGCCGCTCCGTGCCAGGCGGCGCTCCACTCATCCTCGGCAAGTCGACTGTGTCTCACATTGGGTAATTAACTAACTCACTCCCTGCCTCACCCCTTCCAACTCTGCTCCCCAACCGCTGTGCCAAGCATTATTAAACTAATCAAAATTTCTTTGACCAAAAATCCCTTGATGCTCCCTTCGTATTTTGCCACTGGTTTCAATTTTGGCAAGTAAAGTCGGTGTTTCTTTTTTTTAACTGTGAATTTCTTTTTCCAGGCTGACTGCAGAGGATGGGCGCCCCAGTGGTTTTTGCAATTGATTTGCCAAAAATTGAATTTCTCGGATGAAAGAAAGTCGGAAAGAGACCTCGTCCCAAAATTTCGAGCCGCTCCGTGCCAGGCGGCGCTCCACTCATCCTCGGCAAGTCGACTGTGTCTCACATTGGGTAATTAACTAACTCACTCCCTGCCTCACCCCTTCCAACTCTGCTCCCCAACCGCTGTGCCAAGCATTATTAAACTAATCAAAATTTCTTTGACCAAAAATCCCTTGATGCTCCCTTCGTATTTTGCCACTGGTTTCAATTTTGGCAAGTAAAGTCGGTGTTTCTTTTTTTTAACTGTGAATTTCTTTTTCCAGGCTGACTGCAGAGGATGGGCGCCCCAGTGGTTTTTGCAATTGATTTGCCAAAAATTGAATTTCTCGGATGAAAGAAAGTCGGAAAGAGACCTCGTCCCAAAATTTCGAGCCGCTCCGTGCCAGGCGGCGCTCCACTCATCCTCGGCAAGTCGACTGTGTCTCACATTGGGACTCACTCCCTGCCTCACCCCTTCCAACTCTGCTCCCCAACCGCTGTGCCAAGTATTATTAAACAAATTAAAATTTTTTTGGCCAAAATTCCCTTGATGCTCCCTCCGTCTTTTTGGACGCCTCACATGTTCATATAAGATTTTTGCTCAAAATTAATTTTCATTGGTTAAACAAGTTGGACTGAGCATTTGTTTGTTTTTGAAGCTAGTGTTTATAAATAAATTTCAGCAAGAAAAGTATTAATCCTTTTTGGTTTATTGTTTTTTATTTGATAAATTTCATAACATATTATTTATTTGATTTCTTGTACCGTATAAATATCTTCAACCGTGAAACAGATTCTAAGGTTTGACCAGTTAACCTGGTCCTGTGAAACATCTAATAAATGAGTCTAATCACAATAATTTTGTTTTGTTCATCAAATGAAAAATTTTATTCTTATTGCTGGATGCGATACACTTCCTGTACAAATTGAGGAAGCAAGTTTTCTTGGTACACTTTATGTAATACATCCATCTTTCTGTTGATGAAAGAATGATTTCTGTAAATCACAAAGTATTCAATGTCTATGGGTGGAACAAAAAGCACAAGGAATGCTTTTTCAATATTTGAGATCAGTAGTTGTGCTTGAATTTGACTGTAGTATGGATGATTCTCTTTCAAAAAGGGCTTTCCATTCTTATCAAGATTAATGTAAAAGTCTTTATCTTTGAATTTCAGTTTAAGTGACTTCTTACGAATGAAGGGATTGTAGGGACATTTGATTTCAACCAAGAAAAGCTCGCCGTCGATGGAAATTAGTCTGTCAGGAGAGGCACCTGTAAAGGAGAAATTTGGATGGACGAGAAGGCCAATGGATGAGTGGGCTTCTATTTTCAGTGAGTCTCGGTCGTTTGCAACATTGAGGAACTTGTGGAATGCCTCTTCTTCAAAACGAATATCATGTTGGACAGAGGAGCTGGTGAAGAACTTTCTTTTGCCCGCAAACCTCTTCCATGCATCTGTTCTAGCATTTTCACTAGCGAGGCTGTGAACCTGAGTCGCTGTGATTCTGTGGAGCCTAGCCTTGTACCAGTGCTTGCTTTGACTCTGGAAACGTGTGTTTCTCTCAATCTCTCTACTCTTTGGCCAATCAACTAAAATGAAGTCTCTCAAAAATGTTAGCTCGTACTCATTATTTGGAACGATACTTTTTGAGTAACTAGCTTTCTCCATTATCTCAAACAGTTTGTCCACCAGGACTTCTTGTGATTGCTCATTGCTTAAAATTCTGCTTGCTTTTGTTTTGTACTCATTGGCTTCAAGGTTTTTCAGAACGGGAGGGTCAAATCCAACACGCCGTAAACTTGAGGCAAGATCCATGACCCTCGAAGATGGTAAAGTAGCACGTCCAGAAGGGAGTAGTTGGTGTCTAGCAATTTCTGCACCAAGAGGCTGGACAAATCTCCCGGCTCGGCTTTCGTCATGCCTGACAAAGTTGATCTCTGAAAATAGCAGAGGCTCATCGTTCGTAGGCTTCATAGCATGCCATAGTTGGAGTTTGCCTATGGGGAAATATTTGTTAACAATTTTATTTTATAAGAATCTTTCAAAATACCAGTTGGAGTTGGAGTGTCAAAATCGCCATCGAGAACCTCTGTCCCTAATTGTGCACAGCTCCAAATTTTGTATTGAAGAGCAATGGAATGCTTGCACATTCCATCAGTGCCAGCAGGGCAGTTGCATAAGCCCCAAATACGCTTACTTCGACGGCCTTCATTTGCAGGATAAAGTTTGTATGCTACAAATGCATTATAGCCTAGTTTTGTTTTCTGAGTTGCTTCAACTACTGCCTTGAACCATGCTGTTTTATTTTGCAGGCAGGTTTGCAATGTGGTTACATGTCCTTCCATGAACAGAGTGAATCCCTCTCTGTGATGTCTGCTGGATTTTTCATATGAATTTCCAATGTCTTCTTGGGAAATATTAATTTCGACGGGAAAATTAACACCCCAGTTATCATTGGGAACAATCCTGTCCCAGATAGTCTGCAGAGCTGAAAAATTGTATGCACTCTAAAAATCAATAATATTCAAGAAAAATTACATACCAGCAGCAGAGGGGTCCGATTGAAACTTTTCAACAGTTTCCGTACAGCAGTAACATCTCCAAAAGCCTTCCAATTGAACAATTTCAGCTTCTTCCGTGTCCAAACAAGCTTCATGTATTGCTTCTGGACATAATTCGCACTCTAGATGTTCTTCTGTGATTTCAGTCGAGCACTTCCAGCAACGCATTCTTGGTTCTTAGGTATTGTGTAAGTTGCATTACAGAACGATCCACGTGCTCACAGCTCAGATACATACAAGACTATGATGGGATAAGTATTTTTAAAAATCAGCGCCGTTATCCGCCCACTTTAAATCATGCGCATCAACGCGTTTCTTCTTGATGCGCATAGTTCAGAAGTTTTGATTGATTTTCTTGCTCTCTTGAAGTAGTAGTGTCTGTGCAAGAAGGGCAAAGGAATGTCTGTGTATGTTCCTGTCTCTTTTGTGAAACAGCCTTGCTCTTGTTGGTTTCCGCATTCCAGTTATGATTAACTGCGCGTTACTCACAAACACATTTTGAGGCGCAAGCCGCTGCAAATTCTAGATTATCCTGTATTATAGGATTGAGTAAGTGTGCACTACTTTTGTTTTTATTCATGTTCTGATTTCTGCCAATTCCTTCAGCATGGGTTACTCAGTGTGCGGCCTTTGTCTCCAAGACTCACGGATTTGCAGTGGACTCACATTTCACAGAGCAACTACAAAAAGAAAGAAATCTTTGTGGTCGAAAGCTGTGAAGGATGCTGGCTTTATGGTCCTTCATGTTGGCAATTTGATTGTTTGCAGCGATCATTTCTTAGAAGAGGACTTTGTCAGAAGTGGCAACAGAGTTTTTCTCAAGGATGACGCTGTCCCTCAAGCGTTCTCCGGTTGCATCCAACTAAAGAATGATGTGAGTGGCAGTACCAACCACCAGACGCAGGGCTTTGAAAAGGTGGAAGACTCTCCTCTGCCAAAACCAAATCATGCAGAGGCCAGATCTTGGCCATGTGAAGAGGACATGGGCCGTCATTCCCAACATATGCAGATTTTGGAATCATTTAGTGAAGTCCAACAGAGCAGCTCAGAAGAAATTAATTTGCAAATATGCTCTGAAGAAAACAACACAGAATCTGTAAATCAACTTCTGAGCTCTTGCAATTTAAAGGTAAATCTAAAATATAATTTATTACTATGTCTCCATTGTCCTCACGTATCTGTGTTATAGTATTTTTACCATATTATATACTTAAAAAAGAAAACTAATAAATTTGACTTTAGCTTAATGAAAATGATGATTTTGTGACGTTGTGTGCTAATGATGACTCGACCAGCAGTTCACAAGGAGAGCAGCTTTGTACCAGCAGTCCTGCACCAGCACCTCCATTCACATTATTTGGAACTCCAGAAAATGGTAAAGAAAAAAATATTTTTGTGTGCATATGCTCAAATTATGTATTTAATGATTTTGTGTAGATTTGGCTCACCAAGTTCAAGATTCAAACCTCCTGTGCACACCGGCTGTAGTTCCCAGAAAAAGAAAACTCAATTTCGATTCTACGATTGATTTGAGCTCAAATATGCAAAACAAAGAAACTTATGCATTTGATGGTGAATTAGAAGCATTTTGTTTTTAAAATTTACTAATTTTTTTATATTTTTTTCTCACAGAATCCATCCTGTTAAGAAGCGGAGAAATAGAAATGAGCAAAGAAGACGAAGAAGAAAATTACCAAAGCGATTCCTCCAGTGAAGCCTCGCAGCTGCAAGAAGACGATTTTGACACTCCTACACAAACTACGTCTGCTTTAAGAAGGAAGGCTGACGGATTGCTGTTGAAATCAAGACTTCTTATGAAGAAGAAACTAGAATCAAGCTTCGGTATCCTCCGTTTTGTTGAAGATACCGACGCTATCAAGTTTTACACCGGCTTCAGAGATTACGATGTTTTTTACTGCTTCTACCAGTTCTTTATTGAAGATGCAAATACCATGAATTATCTAGGCAGCAAAGCGAAAACGCACGATTCAGATAAAGATCTTGGTAAATTTAGGGTTCCTAAAATGACGAAGACTGACGAGTTCTTCATGACCATGATCCGTCTGCGTAGAGGCTATGAAGTAAAACACCTAGGGCACCTTTTTGGAATCAGCCCGGGGCGCACATCCCGTATCATAAACACATGGCTCCTATTAATGGCTGATAGACTCTCTCAAATTGAATTCTGGACACCAGAAGCACCAAGCAACCCAATGCTCATCCCGAACCCATTAAAGGATAGGCTGAAGAAGATAATTACTATCGTAGATGCCACAGAGATCTACACCGAGAGACCAAGTGCATCTCAGGCACAAAAGGAAATTTTCTCTTCTTACAAGAACCACGTCACTGGAAAAATGCTTGTGGCAATTGATACAAATGGAACCATTACTTTTGTATCACGTGTCTATGCTGGCCGAACATCAGACAAAAAGCTTTTCCAGCACTGCGGGATCATGGAAAAACTGAGAACAGGTGACATTGTGATGGCTGATCGAGGCTTCGATATTGCAAAAGTTCTCGAAAAAAAGGGAGTGGAAGTCCTGATCCCCGATTTCTTGAAGAATAAGGAGCGTTTCAGTTCTGAAGAATTAAGGAACAGTGAGAGAATTGCTGAAATTAGGGTTCATGTCGAAAGGGCAATTAGAAAAATAAAAGAATTTCACATTCTGGATAACACAATCCCAATCACTCTCATGCCAATGATTGACAGGATTTGGATCTGCTGTGCCACATTGGCGAATTTCACAGGCACAGGTTATCTAGTCAAACCTTAGGATATGTTTCGATCATAGTTGAAGATATTTATACTGAACAATAATTCAAATAAATAATATGTTATGAAATTTATCAAATAAAAAACAATAAACCAAAAAGGATTAATACTTTTCTTGCTGAAATTTATTTATAAACACTAGCTTCAAAAACAAACAAATGCTCAGTCCAACTTGTTTAACCAATGAAAATTAATTTTGAGCAAAAATCTTATATGAACATGTGAGGCGTCCAAAAAGACGGAGGGAGCATCAAGGGAATTTTGGCCAAAAAAATTTTAATTTGTTTAATAATACTTGGCACAGCGGTTGGGGAGCAGAGTTGGAAGGGGTGAGGCAGGGAGTGAGTCCCAATGTGAGACACAGTCGACTTGCCGAGGATGAGTGGAGCGCCGCCTGGCACGGAGCGGCTCGAAATTTTGGGACGAGTGCTCTTTCCGACTTTCTTTCATCCGAGAATTTCAATTTTTGGCAAATCAATTGCAAAAACCACTGGGGCGCCCATCCACTGCAGTCAGCCTGGAAAAAGAAATTCACAGTTAAAAAAAAGAAACACCGACTTTACTTGCCAAAATTGAAACCAGTGGCAAAATACGAAGGGAGCATCAAGGGATTTTTGGTCAAAGAAATTTTGATTAGTTTAATAATGCTTGGCACAGCGGTTGGGGAGCAGAGTTGGAAGGGGTGAGGCAGGGAGTGAGTTAGTTAATTACCCAATGTGAGACACAGTCGACTTGCCGAGGATGAGTGGAGCGCCGCCTGGCACGGAGCGGCTCGAATTTTGGGACGAGGTCTCTTTCCGACTTTCTTTCATCCGAGAAATTCAATTTTTGGCAAATCAATTGCAAAAACCACTGGGGCGCCCATCCACTGCAGTCAGCCTGGAAAAAGAAATTCACAGTTAAAAAAAAGAAACACCGTCTTTACGTGCCAAAATTGAAAGCAGTGGTAAAATACGAAGGGAGCATCAAGGGATTTTTGGTCAAAGAAATTTTGATTAGTTTAATAATGCTTGGCACAGCGGTTGGGGAGCAGAGTTGGAAGGGGTGAGGCAGGGAGTGAGTTAGTTAATTACCCAATGTGAGACACAGTCGACTTGCCGAGGATGAGTGGAGCGCCGCCTGGCACAGAGCGGCTCGAAATTTTGGGACGAGTGCTCTTTCCGACTTTCTTTCATCCGAGAAATTCAATTTTTGGCAAATCAATTGCAAAAACCACTGGGGCGCCCATCCACTGCAGTCAGCCTGGAAAAAGAAATTCACAGTTAAAAAAAAGAAACACCGACTTTACGTGCCAAAATTGAAAGCAGTGGTAAAATACGAAGGGAGCATCAAGGGATTTTTGGTCAAAGAAATTTTGATTAGTTTAATAATGCTTGGCACGGCGGTTGGGGAGCAGAGTTGGAAGGGGTGAGGCAGGGAGTGAGTTAGTTAATTACCCAATGTGAGACACAGTCGACTTGCCGAGGATGAGTGGAGCGCCGCCTGGCACGGAGCGGCTCGAAATTTTGGGACGAGTGCTCTTTCCGACTTTCTTTCATCCGAGAAATTCAATTTTTGGCAAATCAATTGCAAAAACCACTGGGGCGCCCATCCACTGCAGTCAGCCTGGAAAAAGAAATTCACAGTTAAAAAAAAGAAACACCGTCTTTACGTGCCAAAATTGAAAGCAGTGGTAAAATACGAAGGGAGCATCAAGGGATTTTTGGTCAAAGAAATTTTGATTAGTTTAATAATGCTTGGCACAGCGGTTGGGGAGCAGAGTTGGAAGGGGTGAGGCAGGGAGTGAGTTAGTTAATTACCCAATGTGAGACACAGTCGACTTGCCGAGGATGAGTGGAGCGCCGCCTGGCACAGAGCGGCTCGAAATTTTGGGACGAGTGCTCTTTCCGACTTTCTTTCATCCGAGAAATTCAATTTTTGGCAAATCAATTGCAAAAACCACTGGGGCGCCCATCCACTGCAGTCAGCCTGGAAAAAGAAATTCACAGTTAAAAAAAAGAAACACCGACTTTACGTGCCAAAATTGAAAGCAGTGGTAAAATACGATGGGAGCATCAAGGGATTTTTGGTCAAAGAAATTTTGATTAGTTTAATAATGCTTGGCACGGCGGTTGGGGAGCAGAGTTGGAAGGGGTGAGGCAGGGAGTGAGTTAGTTAATTACCCAATGTGAGACACAGTCGACTTGCCGAGGATGAGTGGAGCGCCGCCTGGCACGGAGCGGCTCGAAATTTTGGGACGAGTGCTCTTTCCGACTTTCTTTCATCCGAGAAATTCAATTTTTGGCAAATCAATTGCAAAAACCACTGGGGCGCCCATCCACTGCAGTCAGCCTGGAAAAAGAAATTCACAGTTAAAAAAAAAGAAACACCGACTTTACGTGCCAAAATTCAAACCAGTGTTTAAAGGCGAAGGGCACATCAAGAGACTTTGTACAAAAAATTTTATTGTCAAAAGTTGAAGGATGGATTCAGAGATTTGTTCAAGATATCAAATTTTTATTCCATAAACATACTGGTTGGATTGGGTGGGCAGAGGTAGTTGGATGGTAGGCTGCGAGAGTCGAAAGGGCTTCACTCGGGGCAAATTTATCTTACCGACAGTTAGTAAGATCAAGGACGAGTGCATTGCAGCAGCCTTCTCTTATGTCCGATACTCTTTGCTGGCAGGAACATAACTTCTGGTCCAACACTCATGTGCACAGTCGTCACACAATTAAATCGCTCTCGTGCGGAGGCCTGAAAGAAGAAATCGAGAATGAGGAACTAACTTTTAATGAAGATAAACTTTAATCGCAAAAGACAATATGTACATTTTACATTTGACCCCCTTCAAGTTTAATTAATACAACACATATTAACTCAATTATAATCACGCGCTTATTCTTTTTTATAAAAATAAATTGCACCATTCTGTTTATGTATGCATATTAAGGCAACCACATGGCGAATGGCGACGGGTGATAAAAAGTTTGTTTGATGAGATCAGCAGAATCGCAAGTAAAACCACGACAAAATATGCAACGAGAAAGTGTAAGAATGGGTTTGTAGCTCACAATTCAAAATCAGAACACCAAGAAATAATCTTTGCTTGCGCCTTATTCCGCCCGTTCACCCTCTGGCTGAGTCTTTGCGTTGCGAATATTAATGTGTGCCTCGTGTACACGAACCATTTCTCGTTTGTCGCTTTTTGTCGACTCTAGCCGGGTCGGCGATTCGATTTGGCTTTTAAGCGTAAAGACCATGCAGTGCTGGTGTAAACTTACTCGTGAAAAATGACGGGAAAGTTGAGTCACACTCTAAAAATGAGCGGTCGCGTCGCCGGTCGCTGTTTTCATTTTCTTCAGCCAGCTGGTTCAGTTCAGTGAAGCTAGCACCAGTAGCAAAACCACACTTTCGGCCAACGCCGTAAGTCGCTGACGCATGCGCCTGCGAGGCACTCCGGCAGAAGCCGAGCTGCCCAACATTTGGCTGCTTTTCGACATCCCCACGCTCCACCGCGGTGCGATGCAACAACTGTAAACTCTCACAGGTTTCATCGGCCACCACCAGTTACTGCCCCTAAGGTATCCATGACGTATTCAGTTAGCTATACTCGTTTTAGTCACCGGGATCCGCATTTCTGACAAAGTGCAAAAAGTTCGAAAGACAGCCACCAACGCTCTAGCGCCAGGGCTGCGCACTTCCCCTATTATAAATAGCAAAAATATGGTAACAATAAATTAATATTTTAATCATTTAAAATTTTTGTCTGGAATTTAATACATTTTTTTTTTATTGTGGTGAAACAAGTATTTTTTCTTGAAATTCTTATTTTAATATATATTAACCCACTCTTCCTCTTTTACTGATGCATAATTCACAGGCCTTGTGTGTATATTCAGATCAATAAAAATTTAATTTAGCCTTGCTCTCTCTCGCCGCCGCCGTCGTCTCTCCGCCGGCGGAACATTATTATTTTTATGTGCAGCCAAGTGCTGTGTTTGCATTTGATTAAATACCGGCGTCGCTCTTCTTCTCATGCGGCACATAGAGAGACCCTCGCTAATTTTTCCTTGCCAAGAGTAATATTCTGATACACAAACCAGCAGCTCGTCTGTTTCGCCCACAAAAACGGAGAGATAAGGAAAAAAACTCTCAAGGGGAGAAAGATGATTTTGCGAAATAAAAAATTTAATTTATCAATTGCCGACGAGCCAAGCGGGCCGGATGAGATAATGAAAATTAATATACTTTTGACGAAAATTTTTAACGCTGTGAGGGGTGAAAATTACCATGATAGCTGCGTTTTTAATTCAATTTCGGAGTTTATAAATTGCGAATAAATTTATGAACCTGAATGTGTGCATGTGTATTATTTCTTTTAAATAATGGTCATAGCAGGAAATCAGATCGATAAATCTCTCCGTGCCGCTGTCCATAATTAATTTCGCAATTTGCGCGTTACACGCGCAACTCTCTTTCGCGCGCCCGCCGAAACCAATCAAGTGGCGTAATTAATTTATTGCCCGTCGTCATCAGCATATTTCACTAATGGAGAGTGAGAGGAGAGGCTCTCTCTTTGGGTCCAACTGCCTGCGGTTTTATTATTTACGCCGCCGCATACCGATGATGCAGAGACCACAATCAATTAAAATTATTATCGGAGAGTAATACGAGCGAACAAAAAAAAAAACGCATCTCCATTTGGCTCACACATGCAAAATCAGTCATGTTATATAAATTTAGAGAGGGAGCGGCTGGTGGTGCTAGTGATGAATTGGCGAGCGCGATGCAGCCATATTGCGCAGGGGGCGAAGCGGGGGATGAGCCGGCCGGGGGTGCATGTGGCGTTGGCAGCTCTCAGCCATGCTTTTTGTTGCCGGGCCAAAGGAATGCTATATGGACACAAAAAGCAGCAGCAGCAGCACAAAAGAGAGTGACATTTTGTACAAAGGCAGCTTTGCTCGCCGCGTTTTTTGTCCTTTTTTTATACCTGCCCGCTGTCACGCGGCACCAACAATGAAAAGTTGAAGAAAGAAAAAGAACGCAGTGTGGGATTTTGGTCGAGCGCTGAGAGTTCAGTGCTGCGTGGAAAAGGAGAGAGACAAAGAGGCTCTAATTAGGAGCAGCTGCCGATTGTGTGTAACTTGTAACAATTATATGCTATAGGAATTAATTTGTAGGAAAGTAGTAATTAAAGGCATTTCATATTTTTCTATTTCACAAAAATGCACCACCTAATTTAATTAATTATTTTATATTATTTCATGAAAATTTACAATTGGTAGACGTTTTTTAAGTTAATATCTAAATAAAATTAATGAAAAATAACTTCAATTGATTGCTGATTAATTGTTACTTTTCATCAAATTGCCCATAATATTGATAAATTAAATTATTTATTAGATTTTATATAATTATATTAATTTGTATCGACACTAGCACAATGTCATGTTCATTTAATTACTTATTAACGTTAAAATTATCAATTAACAAAAGGACTTTGTATTTTTATGCAATTTATGATTATACTGGACGCATGTAAAAACTATAACAATTATTTAATTTTTAATTTTTATAATTATTCACAATTCTACATACTTATGAATAAAGAATTTTGGATTGAGCATTAAGTTAAATTAATTATAATATACTACATTAAATAAGTAATAAAATTTAAAATTTTGACAAATCTACACGGAAATAGTATTTAAATTTAATTTTTATGTGTAAAATTTTTCAAAGTAAATAGGCGCATAATTATTGTTGTAACTTAACACAAATTTAATTGGAAAAATCAGAATCAGTAATTAATGCAAATGATCAGCAATTTGTTTTGAATTTTTCATCCCTCTAAAATTGCTTCATGAATTTCCAACAAACCAGCCAATCTGGCCTCCTCTATCAATGATGCCTTTTTGATAGTTTTGATTGACCACGCTTTCCAAGGCATATTATAAATCAGCATGGTGATGGCACCTGTGCAGCCCTTCCATTTCCAGCCCGCTTTTATCTCGGTTTATGATGATGAGCCGATTATTGGCGTGTCGCTCGTCCATCAAGCAAATTACACGGGGCGAAATCCATAATATTAATATTAACAGTAGATCCTCTTGTCTATAATAAAACATTCACGGTCGAGTGAAGCCGTCCGAAAAGAAATAAGTGGCCCAATTCCCAGATTCATTTCGCGCTGCCGCTGCTGCTGTGGTGAGGCCAGAAATTTTAATTAAATTTCTTTGGGCGCGATCGGAATGAGCGCCGCGTGGAATGCCGGGGGCGCACACGAGGCGCATTAAGGGTGAGCCCGGCGGCGCGGTGGCAGCAATGATAAATGAGGGTTGGAGCTGCTTCTTCACGAAGATTGATTACGGCCCACGTGATAAATCCCACCAATCACAATGGCGCATCGAAAGTTTTGTGTTGCAGCGCTACAGCAGCCATCTTTATATTTATGGGATGGGGGAGAAATTTATTTTATTGACCGCGAGTGGCGGCGGCTCCTCTTTCTCTCTCGCTGACTACATAATATTGCTCTATGTGGTGCTTCTTTCTTTTGTTGTCTTTCTCTCTCTTGCACTCACTAATGATCTCCCCTCGCTGGGCACCAAAAGGGTTGAGATTCTCAATTTTTTTCCTTATATATGCTAAAGCTGGCACGAATGCAACAGATAAATTACCCACGGATTTATGGAGGAGCATGCACTGGCAGCAGACCAACAGCGACACACTTTGCTTATGGCGGCAGGAAGCTGATAAATACTCGTGTTCAAATAAATAGACCGCCTCTCTCGCGCCCGCACATACACACACACTTGGCCGAGAATTCCGTCGCTGCTCTCTGCATTATTTTCATTTGCGTGTTATTTGTACTGCGCCCCATAATCATATTCATAATGGACCCGGCGTGAAATTTATTGATTTTATTGTCCTCCACCGCCTGTGTATGCCCATAGCAATATACTGCAATTTGAAAGTTCCGAGTGCATTTTGATTGAGGTTGAAGTTCATTAATGCATTAGAAAATTTCTATAAGAAAAATGACAACTATAACAGTTTTTCCTTCAATGTAAAATTATTGAAGTATTATCTTATTTTTTTTTCTAATGATTTATAATAATATTTTATTTTTGCAAACTGATGCAGCATTAAACAAATCAATAAAATTATTATGTAAATTTTGTCTTTATGCAAAGGCAAAACAAAAATTTTATATATTATTTTTATACCTATTTTTAAATTTAATTATTTTTCAATTGATTAATCTCTCTAAACATTATAGAATTTTAAAGCTTTTCCAATTTTTGAATTTCTTATGCTGAGGTCAATCTGAATAGATCTGGAGCACGCAAAGCAAACAGGAAAAACCAGCATAACACAAACTTTACAAAATCCTTTCATAGACAATTTAACATTGGTGAAGCGTTATAAGTTCAAAATTGTTTTCCGCCACGATAAATCAGCAAAAGAAACACGCACCAAGAGGCAGCAGCAGCAGTAGTCATTAATTATTAATAAAGAAAATTATTCTTGAGGTGTCACAGAGTCGATAAATAATTTCCGAAGTAGGACTTTTTTGCAATTCCGAGCGGAGTTGCTGCATGACCGCGCGCCGCCGGCAGATGATGAACGGCAGCCGGAAGTTGGCTCTCTTGTAATTGCGCGTGCACAATGATTATTTTGCAATTAATATTAGCGCTGCAGCAGTTACACTACATACCCCCATTACATTACATGTTTTTTGTTTTCGACGAGGGGCGCTTGCAGCAGCCACTTTGCTGCCGAGAGAGAGCGAGGGGCGGCGCACGCGAATAAATTAAAGGATTTCCTTGAATTAACCCTTTCCATCCGAGGCAGAAACATACAGCTCAGCACAAGAGCGAGCGGTGCCGGCCCCTCTAAATTATGGAATTATAAACAGCAAACAAACGCGCATAGCGGCAACACAGCTAGCGCAGTATGGAGAGAGAGAAAGCCAGGCAGCATGCGATTTAAATTGCCTTTTTGGCGCTTCTCGCGTCGTTTTGTTGGGATATGCACTGCTGGAAAGGGAGCAGGGAAATTAGGGGAGGATGAATTAAAAATGGATTAATCAAAATGAAGTTTTCACTGCGTGCAAAACAAACCGTTTTAATTTTTTTTTCTGATTGTGTCCGGGACTTTTCTCAAACAATTTTTTTTTCATTCCAAAAATCACTGTTAGCATAATACTTAATAAATTTATTATACAATATTTTCATTAAATTTCATCTTTTTCAGAGGCAAATTTTAATTTTTAAACAATTAACTAATTGTGGTTACTACGTTTAAGTCTTATCTAGTTCAGAATAAATGTGATGAAATTTTCAGTAATTAACTTATTCATCATCATTCCAATGTTACTCTCCATTACAGGTATATATCGTTTATATGATGAGAGCAACCATCTCAGGAATATTATGTATATTTGATTTAAACAAGATCAAATTCGGTGGCAAAATATGTACATAATTTTTTTATAATAATAACCATGAAATACTAAAGTATTTGATTTTATGTGCAATGTAATAAAAATATTTCGTTTAATATCTAATTTATTAATTTATAAAAGAAAAATAAAACATCTTTGATTAATAATAAAAATAGTTTGCAAAATGAGTATAAAAATTTTAAGATATTTAAAAAAAAAAATTATTGTTCAAATAGACTAAAATTGTTGTCTGTTTAATTTAAATGTACACGATACATAAAAAAAAAATAATAAGCTCAATGATTAACTAGGAGTATAATCAAAACTCGGAAAAAATGAGCTATAATCTTTATAAGGCGCCTACTGGTTAGGCAACGGTGCGAGCGTGCGTGCAACGAGTGTTGCATATACGCACATAGGCGGGCGGGCGGCTTCAAATGGAACTCCCCAGGCTGGGGCTGGTTTTGTTTTTCGAGTGTCAGTGCCAATTTATGGCCGACTGGAGATGTGTTGCCAGCCAAGGACGACACGACTCGGCCCCTGTAAATTATGTAATCATATGCAGCGCGTACACGCGCCCGCCGATACTGTATACTGTGTCAGTACATACCGCAATTGTGCGTACATGTATTGCCCAGCAGCCGCGCCGGTGGAGCGCGAGAGAGATGTTAATACATATGTATGCTTGAATTACACTCGCGCGGATATAATTTTGTATCGGGCGTGCGGAATGAAAATGCCAATGTATGTGTTGGGCCTTGGTAATTTATTGAAAGCAGCTCGTCGGAAATGTGTGCTCCGACAAAATGATGAAATATTGCTTGCCAGGATCAATTCGCACCTGCCCGAAATGCGAGAGTGGCTGAATATTGCCAAATTCAAAATTTAAAATTCGATACGTTAAAAGAATCGCAAAAATGGTAAAAATTTTAATAATAATAAAAAATAGTGCAACCTGCTCGGCAAGGCTGTCATCAATTAATAATTTTTACTGAATGCATTTATGCAACCGGACGTGCACCGAGGTTCAGCAGGTTGCATTTTATTTTCTCATGGTATAAATTTCAATTTTCCATACTTATATAATAAAAAATACGTAAATGGAAAAATGTATGAAATTTCCATACAGCAATTCAGGACACTTAGTATTAAATGGCATTTCAGAAGTAAATAAATTACATTCAAAATGCTAGAATTTAGCATTTAACCGATACACAGAGATTTTTACTCAGTAAAGAGCAGGAGCAAAAAGTTCACTAGCAAATGCCAAGCAAATCATTTGATCCGTTCAAATATAAAACAATCAGAACGGAACGAGCTGTTCTTTAAATTGCTTGAGTTTAAATTTCCTCTGCTTTGATTCCGCCCTGTTGTCTCAGGGTGGTTAAAAAGACGCGTGCACTTTGGTGAGTGATGAAGTGGCGGTGATTCAAGCGGTAATGAGCTCTTAATAACTGGATTACCGCCGCCATAAAAACGTCTCATAAACCTCACCAAATAATGACAAACTCTCAGCGAGTTATGGCCGCGAGTTTGCCACCCTCTGGCTGCTCCACCCTCAACCACGCACCCCCTGAAAGTTGCTCGTGTCGCCGCCAGAGCGTCTCTTGCGTGGTGCGCCTCTGGTGGAAAAGCTGCAAACTTTTTCGATGACGAAACCGGCTCTGGCGGGAGAGGCGCGAAAGCGGCGCGGCCGCATCGATCTCGCACTGGTGCCTCAGTTCGCGGCCTGAGCGAACGGCTTGTTTTGTTTGTTTCTGATTGCTTCCACTCGGAGAACGTGTTTGCTGAATTAATTTGCTCGGATATGTACGCACGGCCGCGCGCAAAGGCTTGCTCTAAATGAGAGGCTTTTGATCAATGGGAAAAATAAGTGAGTTCAAACTCCGCATTTTGGCCAACTTCTTTTTTGTACAATACATAAAAATTTTTTAAACCTATGCCATATCTTATTAATTTATTTTCATATATCATTGAACTTTTAGAGAGTAACTTTGAAAGAAAAGATTTTTATATTTTGTAGGACAAAAGTTTTAAAATTTTTAACATTCATAAAGTTTTCCAAAACATGTATGCATTTTTTAATAATTGCTCAATGTTTCAACCTGTTTTAATTATGTTTTTGTATTTTAATTATAATTTAGTCATGAATTTCAAATTAATATTTGTTGTAATCTATGCGCTCTTTAGTTACATTGTTCAACGTTTGCAGATCATTTTGTATTTTTATTTTAACAAACATAATTTGTTTGGCCTATTTCACAATTTTCCCGCTAACAGTGAATTTTTTTTTTAATTTCCCAACGTTTGCTATCGCATCCTGTTCTGGAATACATTGCTCGTCCCCTGTGTGTCACGCGCGCGTCTTCTTCGTGATTGATAATAGCTGTCACCCAACACACTGTCACATAAAACACGTGTGAAAATTACCGCAAAAACTTGCCACAATTTGTATTTTATACCATTAAATTAAAATCGTGATTAATATGAGCTTTGTGCATAAATTAAAGGGAATTAATGCAACTTTAAATGAAAAATATTAATTTTAATTTTTAAATGAAATTAAATATACGCAGTTATTAGACAGCAGAAAACGTGTCGCCACTGACACCCTGTTTCCGGTCACGATTTCATGTGCGACAAACTGCTGGCCAGCTGATGCGCGCGCTTGGACATTTTTCGAATGACAACTTTTCATTATCGCTCAGCAGGTATAGCTGCTGTTGCTTCCTGAGATAATGTTGTATTAGTTCATTGTGCCGTGGAAATATTTTGAATTAATGAATGAGAGTTTTTTTATCACTTTAACCAAATAATAAGTGACTAATTTTTTTCCATTTTGGTTAATTGATTTCTTGTTTATTTTCCAGGTGAGTGTTTGTCGGAATGATCAGCTAGTGTGGAAAAATGACTCATAAAATCGTATCAAATGGTGAGTGAATTAAATTGCAACCCTGCATTACGCTAGGAAAATATTATATGACAATGTAATTAAAACAAAATAATATATGCCCTCACTTATTATTAATATATATTTTTTTTTAATTACTTGATATAACATTTTAACTAATTTATTTTTTTATTAAACCAATCAAACTCTGATATTAAATGTCATGCATGATGCATGTTATTGCTCTAAAACTTATTCAGGCCATTTGCAATAAAAAGTCAAATTTTTTAGTGAAGAACAAATGACTTTCCTTCGGAAGTATTGGTCTGAAAATTAATAAAGACTTGCTGAAATTTTTGAAATGGTCAAACCAATATAATACATCAAACTTTTTCTAATCCAATTACTTAATCCAAGTAGTGCTAATCTCAAAGTTTATCTGGTTTGGCGAACAGTAATAAGTGTCATTACGCACATTGCTTTTATCATCGAGCAACAATCAGGCGTATAATTTCGCCGCTTTTTGCCTGTCTGTCAAAGATGACGAGGCAGACCTGTTATTTTCACCGCGCCTCTCTCGCGCAGTCAGAAGGATTCCCATTATTATTAGCCGTGTATACGAAATTATTCCCTTTGGTTGGTGCTCAGTCCGGCCTTTCTTCTTGTGCTGTCCTGACAGCAAAGGCGGCGCATAAATCAAACTCGCCTGCCTGACTGATTTATGGAGCTCGAGCCGCGCTGATAATAGCTTGACCGAAATCATCTCGGCGGTGCCAATCCGAAGGGAAAAAAATCTGAAAGTTTCCTCGACCAATGAGCTCTCTTTCTTTCCTCGTTACATATTATTCTCAGGCGATGCGAAATTTTCTGGCCGCTCGCGGTCTGACCTCATTCGCGGTATTTACGACTTATTGATAACCCGTAATTACGCGGCATGCACCACTGATTTATGTGGCGTCTCCAAATTACAAGAGTATTTTCCAATATGAGCTCAGACCAGGGGAGGATCAACGATAAAATGCCGTTTTGTTAGTGGAGGCTGCATGGATGCATGATGATCGAAAGTTAATTCAAAAAAAATTATTTAGAAACAAAAAATTGAAAAAAATAATTTTAATTACTTTGTTTGTTAAAAATTTAAATTATAATCAAAATTTTTAATAATGGAAGATATTAAAAAAAATAAAGATTCATCATTTTTAAAGGTTTGCCGTTTTATTGTCATGCTGATTTAAAATTGATAGACCCCTTGTATGATATAATTGTAATTAACTGCAAAGTCGTTTTATTATTATTACTACAAAACCAATCTACATATTCAGTAAATTGAAATATGAGATTTAGAGTTTTATGTTCATGATATATTGTTCACTTTTTTTAATTCTAGGCCTGAATTATTTTGTTTATCAATAATTAATACTATCGCGATAAATTTTAATTAAAAATATTTTAAACTTACTGGCCTTGCAGCACTGTAAAATATGTGTCCATATTCTGCGGTAATTCCAATACGTTCACAAGGATCACTGTTTCTTTGGCAGAGGTTTGTGCCAGACTGAATTCTGTCTCCTGCTAGTGCTACCAATATTGCACCACATACTCTTTATAAAATTTTTAACCATTTTTTTGCTCTAAAATATTTTACAACAGAATTGTAGTCTGTATTGTCAAACAAGCGTGAAGTTTTTTGTGGTCTTTGCCTCTGAAAAAAATCAACCAGGGTCACACTTTACTTTGTTTTAGTCCCGTTGCAACCCAAACAAAGCCGCGAGTGATGCAACCTTCTCGATTGTGTGAGGAAACAGAAGCTGTCGCTTGAAAGGAAAGATGCGCGGCGGCTGCCAATATTCAAAATTTATATCCCTGCGACCTATTCACACATGTGCTGACCGTCGTTTCCGTAAACTGCTGGGACAAAAATCGGCACAATGAGCCGGATGGGACAAAGAGCTAAAAAAAATTCTCTGGTGTTGTTTGGGAATTATTAAAAATATGGGCTGGAAATATGCCTGCAATGAGTGGCCCAAGAGGGTTCACACAGAAAATGCATTGAGAGAGCAGGGTAGCATGACCTGCGGCCATTACACCCACCCTATAATTTAAAACCACCACGCCAAAGCACAAAGGAAAACACGGGCGCGCACTGTAAGAAAAGAACACAGGAAGGTATGCATGTATTATCCCTGCCTGGGCTGAAGGTCAGCAGAGTAACAAGAGGGACCAAAATCAATAGATATAGGAAAACATTGAGTGTCTTGAGGCTTTTCTCAAAACGGAATGCATAATTGAGATGGGCTTTGAAACCGCGCAAAAGTTTTAGTTTAATTAAATTTTACTGAGAATTATAAAATTTTATAATTTTTATAATTTATGGTTTTTATTTTCAGCAAATTTACAGTGCAAACCATGGTTTATGCGACAGAAATTAAAATTTTTGATATAGAGAACAAAAAATGTTTGAAATTTCTTATTTATTTATTAATTATTGTTACATCATACGCATTTATTAAACAGAATCGACCTGGTAACTTCTTAAAATGTAACATTATTTCACTAAAATATTGTTATGAAGATTAAAAAATGAAACACCCCTACCCATGAGGCCATCAAGATAAAGGAGGTATTGTGTAAAATTTATAGCATAATCATTGTGTGTGCTCCACTACCTCAAGTAATATAAAAAATTTTTGATCGCAATTCAATTTCAGAATTTTATCTTTTATAAGAAAGCTAGAATGAGTATATTATAATAATAAATTTGATGTTTATAAAACAATACACAATATAAAAATACAAATTTAAAAATTAACAACATTAATCTATAATATTTCTTTGAAGAAATGAAAGTTTAAATTATTAAATAAACTATTTTTTTTTCTTAGGGTCAGGCCAAGACAAAGTCTTGTCGGCCTGTGCCCTTTATTTATAATTTTTAAACCTTGTAATATGTTTAATATAAATTTTTAATTTCATCTCTGCTCTCCTCGTAATGCAATAAGGTCTTACCGTGCGCAAAAAAGCAGTCGCCGCCCGCTTTGCTGCCATAATCACATTATATGGCCGCGTAATTATTACATGCGCGCGGAGTGCAATTATACCCGTTGCTGCAGCGTGGCGCGTACGGACGGACGTACAAAGCGAAATAATGTGAAATGCAGTCGCGCGCCAAGGTTGTAATATTGTGGGAACAAGTGACACAGACACGCATTGTTAAGATGCTATCCGTGTATTCGCTGGAGGGACGTGGACCGCATTTTATCGCGCACACACTCGACTCACTCAGCAGCAATATGCTGCGGCCGCGCACGAAAACAATGAAGAATATTACAATTTTATTCTCCTCCGAGCAGCATCGTGTCCGCGTTGCATATGAATCGTAACGGATTTTTATACTCTCATCTGATTAGCAAATTCGGTGCCAGGCCATTGAATATAATCGGCTGCGTGCTCGCGAGCAGCTTCCCCCGACGTTCGAACGCTCAATATTTTGCTACACGTGACCCGATTGTTAATTTTTCCAGCAAACAACGATGATGGAAACAAATTGCTTCCTATTGATGCAATTATGAGAATATAAATTTTATTACTAATGTTTTCCTTAGTTTTTTTTTTTTTTTAAAGAAAAAATGCAATATTTTTCCAAAAAGAAAAATTTGTATAAACCAGTTTATTGAAATAGATTGGATTTAAATAGTAAAAATACATATCTATTTTTTTTTTTTTAATTTTGCAGTTTTAAGTTTTAAAAGTATGATGAATAAAAGCAAGCAATTGGGGCGGCCTCGAAGGAGCTTTTAAGTGTGGCGTTTTTAATGTTAAGACCAATGCTGTTGTTGTGCTGCTCTTATTTCCCATATTCTAATTGTTTGAAATTTTTTTTCATAAAATTCTGAAAAAGTTAGGTACTACATATTTCTTCAACTAAATTTATCTTTTCAGAAATAATGAAACATTTTAAAGCAATAAACAATTTTATTTTTATGTCACTTAAGAGGCCAAGTATTTAATGGTTGTTAATTCTGAGAGCAATTAAAATTCAATTAAACACATAAATTCCTGCACACGTGCTTTGACTGTGCGCCTTGGTTCTCGTAAAAAGCCAGTCTGGGTCTCGAGCAAATAACAGGGCAGGTGCAAATTCTAACAATGGGCGATAAAAGGTCTACGCAATAATTCAAAATTCTCCACCGGTGGCATGCACGGATACATTTCGAGAGAGGGACCATCTCACTTCTCTCTCTTTGGTATTTTATTTTTGCTATAAAAGAGGCGAAAAAATTAATGTCCATCATCAAGGGGGACATCTGTTAACATTCCACTTTATTATACGTAAAGGAAACGAACCGTGCGCTGCCACCACGGCATTTTTATGTGTGGAAAACCGGTCCCCGTGCCGCGAGAGGCAAAGTACATTTCTGCCGTTTTTTGAGGAAGTGCACGGCGCGGGGACATGTGTGGAGAAATAACAAGTTTTTGCGGCGCGAACGCCGAAAAACGGCATACTTCTTCTCTCTTAAATGCGTTTAGATATTTTATCTCAAGCAAGCTATTTTGTTTCTCGTATGGTGCCTGGATAATTTATGTAATTTTCTTATGGTAATTACAATCCGCGTGGAATTATTTATTAACTGGACGTGGAATTCACGCAGGTGGCGAGTAATTTTTCAATTTGTGCGTCTCCGAGACTCCACATGACTATGCCGGACTTACATTCGCTCAGCAAATTAGGAACAAATTGCGATTGTACTAAATAACACAGCACAAAATCTAAACCACTGTCATTTATATAGCCAACAAAATAAATTAATTTTTAGACCATAGGATCTTTTTTATTTAAAAATCTTTTAAAGCAGTTTGAGACATTCTTCATATAAGATTTAATTTTATGTAACTTTTTACTATTTAAAACAATTTTACGCTAATTTTTATATGATAAGCTTTTAATGCCAAATATAAACTCATAAAATTTTCATGGCTTTTGACTTCCTACAATAAGCACTCAACACGAGGTCTAATTAAGTGTTTGTGTGTCTAGCAACTCACTTTGGGAAGCGTGTTAAAATTTTTAAGCCCAGCGCATAACCAATTGTCAGCTATGTAATTTCTCTCTCTCCTATGCGTTTGTTACCCGCTGCTTTCCTCTTGTCGCGCGCAGCTGGAAAAGACCCGCATATATTTGCTTGAAAAAGGTTGTGTTTTGATGTGACCGTGCGGGCTCTTGTGCTTACGCAGCAGCAGCAGCAGTCAGTGGATCGATCCAATAAATCCGTTGTGAAATAATAAAAGCTGACAAATGGAAATGTCAGTGGCTTGTTTTGAATATTTTATGTGCACATATAATTAATGCATATTTGTGTAACACTTTGGTGGAATTTTACAACAAAAATAAGCAGTAGGAAATGGTTTGGAGAGCGAGCGGTGCTCGGGAGAAAGAGTTTGGTGGGCCAAGTCATTTGCACGCTTTTGATTAATAGCAGAGGTGGAGTCTCTTCAGGCTACTCCAATATGCGAGCATGCAATTTCTTCCACGTCAGTCATGTCAGTTTCCCACCTGCTTTTAGCGGCCATTGCTCTCTCATTATTTTAAAAGTATCTTTAAGCTCCATTGGCAAACAAATTTAAAAAAAATTTAAGTATGATTCAAAATATTGTTTTATTGGATTTACAAAATTAAAATCAATACAAAAATAGATAAACCCTCTGGTATATCTTTTTTCAACTGGGAATTTTATAAACAAAATATACAATGAATTTTATAAACTATATATAAATCGATAAACTTTATCTCAGTCAGTAGCATCAATAGCAGAATTTTGGGCATCAAAATCTTCTTATTCTTTGCAATTCCTTGCCCGTTTTTTTTTTTTATTACTTTGAAATCACCTTTTTCACCAGATTTTAAAAATTTCAAGTTTAGGGAATTGCAATTTTTATTGTAAAATAGATTTTACCTTGAAAGAGAAGAGAATTAAGGAAATCTGAAAAATTACATGAACTCTTTCACAAACTAAGCATAAAAAGAATGCTTTTTATCATTGGCCGTACTGGTCTGTTCAAATTAAGTGCATAGATCATGTATGTAAATAGTTCACCATCCGATTAGCTTTCATTGGCAACAACTGTAATTACACGCCCCTGGCAGCAATGAAAGCCTTATCTAATTGCTCATAAAGTATCAAACTCATTATATTGCACAGAGCACGCGACCTGCGGCCGACTATAAACATTGTATTATTCATTGAGAGGATCGTTTATTAGTTATTAGGCGCAATTACACATCACTCAATCAAGTAAACAAATTGATTTAATGGCAGAGTATAGAAAGAAAATATAAATATCCGACGCCATCGTTCAAGTCTCGAGTCTGCCGCATCAACAAGTGTGTGCTCGTCCTGCGATATGGTGCTTCGACCAACACACGCTCTCCTTTCGCAATTTATAAAATCGCTCGTTGAGATCTCCTATTAATTTGAACAGCAGCGTGTAATACATAAATGCATGGCTGTACGATCCATCATCAATATCCGCGTAGCTGTTTTTCCCCGTCTCCGCAAGATTTTCGCAACTCAATTAAAAATTTTAATTAAACTCGAACCATCTTTCTTGGCACGACTCTCTTTCTTTAATATCGATCCTCTCAGTTTCTAATTTTGGAAGGAAGATTTCGTTTCGGCTCACTAGCGAAGGAGGTGAAAATGTTCATTAGGCACGCAAAGTGCTGCTAATTGAGCCGCCGCTAATTAGAGATGACCGTAATTCCGCGAGAGGCGAGATGCTTAATTAGATTACCAGAGACTGGTCGCGTCGGTCTATTGAGGGACAAGTCGCTCGATCTTTTTTCCATTCAAAACGTGCTGCATTGCGATTGAGGTCGACTTCTTTTTAATTACTTTCTAAATTTTATCTCGTCCACATTCACGGCAGCTTGCGTGTTGCAGCTGAAGTTGCTCCTGAATGGAGATACGTTAGAATCAACGTGCCAAACTGAGAGACGGCGGTCCTTTGTAGTCTATTTTATATCTTTTTATTTTTCAATCAGAATGATAAACGCGGTCGAGCTATTTGTTATTCATATTCATCGCCGCGTAGGCGTTTTATTTTAATAAACGAGGTGTTATGTTTTCTATATCCAGTCACGTTACACCGGTGCGGAGGATTTAATTGGCCTGCTGAGGCGATCGGAGACACAGTGGATGGGTGCCAGACGGGTATATAAGAAATTGTTCCATTATATTTATTTATATCAAGTACACACGCTTGGCGCATGTCAATTTTATCTGCGGAGATCGAGGTGACAGGCCGAAGAGCGAGAAGAGGGCAGAGGTCGACAAAATATAGAAAGGAAATTAATTAGACAACGCCAAGATTTTTATAATATTAAAACATTAAGAAGAAATGCAAAATTTAGTTAACACAATAATTTTATATATTATTACACATCGACATACTTTAAAATAATATTTTAAACCTTTTTGTAGTTTTACGTAAAATTTTAATCAAATAAACTATTATAACATATTATAATGTGTATGAACAGGACAATTGCACATTCTATAAAGTTAAATAAAAAATCGAGTCATAAATACTGAATTTTGTATGTATCGATGATGTATTTGGGCAGAGAATGCCCGGTGGTAAATTAATCAATAAACACAATTTGCAACTAAATACTAATTTTTTTATAGTTATGAGATCACTCCATTTATTATACAAATGTTTTTACTGGTTTGATCAGCCAATTGTGTAGTGGAGCATTCATATTTCCATGTGTACTAATTATCGTTGTAATTAAAAAAAATGTTAACAGTTGAGCATCTGTTCCTCTATGTATGGCATAATGATTAATTAATGCAAAATGAAAAGCATCAAACATTTTAATTAAACAATTATATTGAATTAAATGACACATCGAACTGTATTTTGAAAAATTTAAATGCTGGCACATGTTCAAAAACCATTTTAAAAAAACCTTCAGCTGACAAAGGATTAGACACGTGTATTGTTGTATACTTAAAAATTTACAGCTCTGAGCAAATGCGAGTGATACGCGTTTGAATTAAATAAATCCATCTGTGTGTAATAAGTGCGACCGTGGTGCTGTTGCTGCTGGTATAACGTGTAACCCGAGCGGCTAAACACACGTGAATTGCATATCAGATTAGATGCATATCGCTGCAAATACATGTGCATGATAAATACAGAGAAAATACAAAAACACACACGCTGGCCGGCACAAATGCACACACACTCGACTTATATACGAGCACCACTGATCTATTTATTCAAATGCATTCGGAATTATCTCTTTTTCTGCGCGCCTGTTATTCTTGCGCCACGAATAATATATTGTAAAGTTGGTCTTTCTGAATGTATATATTCCGATTCTAGACCGATCATGAATACATTTGCATATGATTAGCTAACTGTTTGCGTTGATTCAGAGTTCTACGTCGTTCATCGCAAGGGCAGGAAGGGTAATTAATTTGTGTTTTATTGCGACGAAGGACCATAACTGACTGCAAATGTTACTTAAAGGTTTGGCTACTATTTATGTAGAGCAAAAGAAAGGGATCTTAAATCGTATTTGAAAATTTAAAAAAAAAATATCAACATTAAACTTGAAACAAAAAATTAAAAAAGCAAAAAAATAATGGTTCCTCAGTACATTAATATGACTGAAAATGTATTTAAATGCACCAATAATCATATCATGGTATACTTTTAAATTCAGCAAATTAAATTGGTAAAAAAAACTGAATTTATAAATTTAAATTTTTTCAAGCTAATCAATTTTAATATGACCACGTAAATTAATATGACTTGTAAATTGTTTGTTTCAATGGTGGGCCAGCTTGTGACTCCATTCAAAAAATGTAAATTTGGCAGACTTGTCTTCACGTTTCCCGGCATGGAGAATTTCCCCCAACTTGCCGTCGGATGATGTATAGCATGCCTCTTTCCCACCGGGTGATTTGCAAATAATAATCACTAGTAATTACAATATTTAGAGTCTCACATTAAGAGTCCGCGCGACGTAATTAATTTAGGCGAATAAATCAAGCAGATAACCCGCGAGAGAGAGAGAGAGAGTCTGGAATCTGAAACGAGCAGCCACACACGACGACGAGCCATTTTCCTCTTCGATGGCGTCCGAAAGGAATATTATTTTTAAATTTATAAACGCTCGTCACTTCTCTGACACTTGTTGGGCTCTCGCCCTCTAGGTACAAAGAAGAGGAGCCCATAGTGGGATGCGCACCCCTCTCTTGGTTTGATATGGCAGAATTAATAGAGAAAAAGAGGCACTCGAGTGTGTATAATAGAGCGAGAGGAACATAATGTAAAACCAAATTGGTCTGCAGCTACTTTAATAATATGCTGCCAGGGCTTGATTTATGATTTCCTCAGGGTCTATTGCGCGCTCTCAGCGCAATCATGGTCGAGAGCAAATGAAAAACACCGCGCGTTTCATGCCTTTCTTGTTTTTTTATTCGCCTGCACGCAGCAGAGGAGTGTTTCAAAATTATCCGGCGTACAAATGAGCACACAATGGTGGCCGAAAAGATTAAATACAAATTTAAATATCTGGCTAAACTTTGTGCTCAGCAAATTTTAATAGTATTTTTATAATTAATTTTTTTCCATTTTGTTCCAGGTGAGTCATCTTTGCATACTCATTTGCATGCAATCGAAGAAAACACAGACCCTGAAAGCAAAACATGAAAAAAAGAACAAGCGCATCTCCTTGATTAACACACCCTGTCGTTTCCATATTTAAAATGCGACATCTTCTCTGGTGAGTGTATTTTTTTTCAATTGAAAAATTCTTGGCTGAGAATAAAATTCCTGCGTATTTATAATAATCGCGAGAACAAACCGTAATTGTTGTTGAGAGGATAATTCCTCTCAAGCTAAAGTTTAATTAAATCTCGGCGCTTTACTGAATGTACCGAGCAGAATTACATACATAGCTCGTTGTGACTGCCGGCGATTTTCTCTCACACAGGATGAGAAAGAAAACATCACGAGAGAACCTCTATTGAATTTCACTTACTTATATCCTCACATGCACACATACATATATGCTGTGTATATATATTTATTTATTTATAAAGGCAAACAATACTGCTCGGCTACCGGCCTGGAGAAGTACAAGAGCGTCGAACAGAAAACGGTGGCAGCTCTGGGGCCGAGACGATATTCTTTTCTCGTCCAGTGTTGGTGTCACAAGGGCAAAAGTTTAAAGGTCGAGCGTTCACACTCCATGCATGCGGTGGACATTGCCAACTAGCAATTTTCAGTATTTATTATGCAGCTCCGATTATAACTCAAACTTAACAATAACATTACAAAATCGATTGCAGTTAGCTTTAATTTACAACAATAGAAGAAATATAAAATTTATTTATGCTCAAAATTTTTCTATATTTAAAAATATATAAATTAAAAATTTTTAATTCATAAAAATTTTTGATAATTAAGTAAATTTTTATGATTATAAATGTATTATTTTATCTCAGAGATTTTAATTATTGTTTTGAAATACGTCAAATTGTTTATTTATTTAAAAAAAATTAGACATCAAACAAATAATATTTGTAACTGTAGTCCAAAGTCATGTAATAGAAAATACCATAAGGAATTAAAATGATGAGGAGTTAACTCATTGTCTTATATTGCCTATTAATTATTTAATACAAAACTCAATAATATGAATTTGATTTAATGAATAAATGAATAACCTTACGAGCACAGTGCAAAGGGTAAATTGATGATCCACAAAATTTTACTTTGCTTTTAATCTAATTGCAAATTAAGCTTATTGGTTTTCCGCAAGGCAATATCTTTCCAATTATGCTTTCTTCTTGACATGAATCCTGGAAAAATGTAGACGAATTCTATTTAATCTACTCGCGCCTCTCCATATTCAGCATCCGAGAGATGTCCTTTTAGTTCCCGAATTTTCCGTGTTGCGGCCGGCCGTTAGTTTGTGCTCTCAACGACAGAAGGCAACACACAAATCACATCCCACAGATAAATCTCCCCCATGGCTGCTGGCTGCCGCTTTCAGCCATATAAATTTTCCCCGCTGGCTCATTTTACATCGCTGCTGAAAAGTCTCGACGCTTTTCAGCGAACATACCAAAATCCGCCTAATGGAAAATAACTTGCTTGTAAATCTATATTTTAATTAGTAAATTTCTTTAATTACTCTAACCTGCATGCGGTGAGAGAGATATATACCGTTTTAATTAATTTAAGAACGGCTTTACTTATTTAACATGCACCGAAGTGCATAAATTAAGAAATTTCTCTAGTGTGAGACTCGAGAAGCAATTTAGCATATGGAGGCGTAATCATCACCTTTCCGCATACCGAAACACCGTAATTACACCTAAACGGTCTAAAATACACAAAACAGCGCACTATTTAATCTACCAGCCAAAATATATAATTCAGTGGCAGCTCCCAAATAACAATTTCCAGCGGTGCTAATTGCCGGGAGGAATAACACCGCAGAGAGAATAAAATTACACAATTATATTTTCGATGCACGGCCGCCGTGCATTTGAATAATAATGGAGGCACAAATTGCTGTTTGATAAGCACACGAATTATGTCGTGGGAATGAGAAAAGCTGTCACCATTTCACACAGGCCGCAATTATTTATTACACGCATGTATGCGGTGGTGGCGGCGGCGGCTATTTCGAGTCTGGCGTGTCAGGAGCAAATATAACAAAATGTTCTTTCTAGTCTCGCGCGCGCGGTAAACTCTCGCGCCGTTGCCATGGCCGGGCGTTAAAATATGGCCAACTTCTTCAATTTTGTCAGCACGCATATTGTGCATGCGAGCACCTTGACAAAGCGAAGTACAACCACCATTTCGTGTAAATATCTTTCGAGCTGATAACCCGTGCACAGGAAGTAAGCATGCCGCCCCCAAGCCACGGTCTGGAATTTGGTGTAATGAATTTTTTACAACAGACACATAAAGTTTGCTCGAATTTTTGCATAATCTTATCAGCGACAGACGAATGAAAAATAAAAATGAGGACAGTATTTTTCATTTCAGACATCTTAATTGTTTAAAAAGCAGAGATATCAAATTTGACGTAAAACACTGCGCCATGTTTTTTTTTTTACGAACAAACATTGTTTTGAGATAAGATAAGCGGAATAGAAACCAAGAAAAAACTTTTTTTTTTTAAACTTCTAGCGTTTATTTGTTCCATTCAACAACAATAAGTGGTAGGAAACAATATTTCTATCAGAATAAAGAGTATAGAGAATTTTTTTTTTTCAAATATTGTTTCATTTTAATAAAATTAGTTTTTGCAGTTAATTTAAAATAATTTAAATGGAATACTTCTAACTGAAAGCGTTAGTTCAGGGCCGCACATGAAAGAGGGAGTGCAAGTGGCGTTAAGGAGAAGCACATCTGTGCAGCGGAGGTCGATGGCAGAGGAGATAATAATGAAGCAGGAGCCGCGGCAATAAAGAAACCGAATGTGAAAGTTTTATGTCTTTGTTGGGTGTCACTGATATAACCATAAAAACCATGACCATGCCCAAGGTGAAACTGTTTTACTGCAATCCCAGTCATAAAACACCCCGTCAAAACACTCGTGCACCCTGTTTACGTCACAGACAAACAAACAGATTTTCTGCTTTATAGACTGAATTGCCGTTAGCAAAATCGATAATTTCAAAAATATATTTCGCTTGTGATGATTATTTTAAAAGATCAGATTTTAGAAAAAAATAAAAATAAAATAATAAAAAAAAAGAACATCTCTACCCCAATCAGCTCCATAGCCCCTGTTTGGTAGGCAATTTTTTGGGCACATCTGACGAGCGGGTTGAAAGGGGTTGCCATACAGGAGCTGCTGAATTAATTAAAAAAATTTATTATTAAAAAGAAGCTAAAATTTAAATTATTTTTAAAATTAAAATAAAAAATAATCACTAACCAGGATTCTGAAGAAATTCCTTTTATTTTCGTTTGTGTTTGAAACTAAATTCCTTGAAGCCGTGTTTGGAGAGAGACGAAGAGCCGCTCTTTTGAGCCAGCTCGCGGTGTTTTCGGTGATGCTGATCGATTTCTTCGCTGCTTCTTCTCTGGGCTGAGCCAATCAGTAATGCCGGGCCGTTTATCTCTGTCACTCTCTCCCTTATTGTGACGTCACTCGCCCGCCCGCCTGAATCATCCCCCGGCTGGCTGCCGGCTGGCTTGCATTATTATTACTTCAACTTCTTCTTCTTCTTGCAAACTTTCCATCCACTCCGCCAAAACACCCCAACTAATCCACGCACAACGCTGTCACCCACCCGACCGCTCTCCCGCGAGAGCGAGCGGAGAAAATGTCACACAGCAACGAAAGCACATAAATCATGGTATCCTGAACAAAACTTGACATGCAGAAATATTCACGGCGTTTTCAAACTCCGGCGACGCCACCGCTGCCGCGGGCGCGCAGGGGGCTGAAAAACAAAAGTGCCACGCCGAGTTGAGTTCGGTCTGCAGGGTGGCACTTTTGCAGCCACACACACGCAGATATAGAAAGAGCCACCTTATCTAATCTGCAAAAGTGCTGCTCCGTACGCTTAATCCAACCCCCCAAAACTTTCTGTGCACCGCTCAATTCATTACAAATTCATTTCGAAAACAGCAAAACTTTTGGTCAGGTCGATGACATGCTGCAAAAGGGGCGAGATTTTCAAATAGGATTAAGATGGTGAAATCCAGTCAGGGGAGTTGGACTAAACTTATTTTTATATTATTAAAAGACATATTATTTTTGTAATAATAAAATACAATTTATTATTTTTTTATTTACTTGTTTAATATTTATCATAATTTTTTTAACAAAATCAGTGTTATTTAACAAAACTTGTTGTAATGATCTATAAATTGCACATAGAAACACAAAATTCCCTTAGGTGGAAAAAATGCACACTTTTTTGTTCTAAATTTTAATTATTTAAAAATAAATACTTGAGGCCATGCTAGTACAACTCTAAATATTTAAAAATAACTTTTTTTTGTCTTTGGTCTGTGCTTAGAATGAAATAATTACTTAATTTGATCCTATGGGCTTATATTTTTAAAACACAGATATAATAGATTAAATTGTCAAAAGCAAATAATATTCACTTGTGATAAAATAAATTCCGATCGGTAGAAGTTTGAATTGGACGAATATTACACTGAATGCAAGGAAAATGGTAAAAATGCAAATCTAGATGCAAATTAGCTCTGGGTGATGCAAAAGTCATTAACTGGCTAGGTGCTGCTGGTTCGACGAGAGCTCTCCCTGCCTGCTCTCGGTCGCCTGGCAGCTGGAATGAATATACGGGGCTCATTTTGTATGCGCATCAGGAATAAATTTGATATTATTCCCGGCGTGAGTTCTACTCTCCGGCGTTACATTTTCACAAAGAGAGAGAGCATCCAACTCCACTAGCATGTGCATGTCTTGGACAATTATTTCCCCAAAGGCTTTGTATCATTTTGACACGGGAGTAGGGAAACGTGTTCCTGCTTAATCAGCCGCCTGCATAAATCATCCACGCAAATTATTTTAAATTAGAGAAAGAGAGACTCATCACTTGTCTCCGCACTTGAACACACACACCCTTTCTCCGTAATTACCAACACTTTTGCTTTTAATTATTTCAAACGACGCTGCTGCTGCCGGGATTGGATTTTTTTCGTCTCTGCTTTTCTTGAATGCTTATTTTAATCGCGCTCATCAGACTGTGGATGAAAAATGGCTGCTGGAGAGACTCAGCA